TAGCCGTCGTAGAAACAATTGCTTTGAGTTCCTTTTTCATTTCAGGTTGATTAAAATCAATTTTTAAGTATTCATAAGGCGATAATGCACTTTATTAAAACAATGGGAGGCGTAACTGTCACTTTATCTAACATTTTACTGGTGTGTCATTTTAATTAATAGATAATCTCCATGACAACGCTATTGGGCCGTCCAGAAATCGTTGCGTTGTTTTGTTAAATTTTTGTCCCATGTTGCATTGTGGGATGGATATATGACATGGATGTTTTAACTTCACGGTGCTCACACAGACGGAAATCAACTTCTCCTTGTCGCTGTAACATGCGGAGAAGTTGATTTCCCTCTGTACGTCTAGCCATGGATTCCTCCATGGCCTAGCTACTGCGTGATGTTCATCTGTTCGCCTAAAAATAAAATAGCGATCTTGTTGACATTATCTGTGTGAAATATTTTGTAAAGATATCGATAAGAGATGAATGAGTAAAACTTTAGGTATTTCGTCAGACATTCATTGAAATTTTAACTGGTCATGCGGACTTGTTATTGGGATAATTAACAGGTCCGCCATGCATTTTACTAGCCATTGGCCGGCGGACCAGCGTTATTTCGAACCCTGTCTACAGTAATCAATATAAATTTATTGGTGTTTTTAAAGCCAGCCAAATGAAATTACACAGTGAAAATGAAATGTTAAGAGAAAGTAGCCTATGTACAGTATGCAGTATCTGAAAACATACACATAATACAATGTAAATAACACTATGAAATAGTATGTGAGATTTTTTTCTAGAATTGTTCACTATGTGAATGGTCAATAAGATATTCCCAAAACGATGCTGTAAATTATTCCAATTGTTTCATGGAACCTGGATATTTTAAGTTTTTCCAGAACCATCTACAGTAGTACAGTCACTCAAACAGAAAATACTTACGGAAGTACTGTACAAGACTCATTTAAGTGTAGTAAAGACTTGGCCTTGATTGGAAGCACAGACAAGAGCACTTCAAATTCAGTCAGTCTTAATACACTACCGTTTCCTATTGGCCAGTTGCAAAATGATCGTGTTTAAAAGTCTGAGGCATCCTGCCTTTGGAAGTGGCTTAATGCCCCCTTTGTGTTTCATATGCACGTATTTAGTAGTTCTGTTTTTAATAATCAATTTTAACACATGTTCAATAGTGTAGTGTAGGAATTCTGTAGTTATTTGCCATGAGGTACTTTATTATAATTCATAATCAGTAGGCTATATGTGGGTGTTTAAACTTAAATAAAAGTTAAAACTGAAAAAAAAAAACTTTAGCAATTATATACAGTATTATTAATATATAATTAAAACAGGTCTATTTTTTCTATTATTCTGTAGTAATTATAGTGATACAATAACATGTTTTATCTGAATTTTGGATAGAACTCAAAATCTCATTAATTAATATTACAATCATATTCATGATACACTAATGATATTAACATAATGTACTATTAGAGGATAATATTACTAAGTGTTAGTAAGTACTTTGAAATCAATTAATGACAATCATTCCTTTGTTGCTGTTTTCAGAAAATCAGGCACAGTTCAAAAGAATGTGGTTAATCATTGACTGTATCGGATGTTTTAACACCACATGAGTCAATGTGTTCCACAGGTACAGTACTGTGCTTCACTGTACCACCTGTAATTAGCCTGCATTATGTTGACTTGCTTTTTTTTTCTTTTATTTCTTTCTGTAATATTGTACTCATATTCATAAATGTTATGGATTAATCCATCAGTTTCAAGATGAAACTACAATATAAAAAATGACATAAATTAAGCAAAATACAGTTTTCAATAGCTAATATGGGATTGGTCTTGAGAAAAAAAAATCCTATGAATTTTTGCAAGGATTTGAACTAGTATCCTGGGATTTGAAAGTAAGTACACTAAGAAGCACAAAGCCACTTTACCACACTCTACTTGTATGTGCCTAGTTGATTCAGATCTGTGTGTTCTAGTTTTTTTTGGTTTTTTTTTTTAACTATTGAAAAAATGTATATTGAATCACTATCTCATTTACTTCCTACTTTGTTTTTCCAGAATATCCTCTTTATTAACCAGCAATTTTTACTTCTCTTTGTCTCCTACTTCCTCTAAATTACGTATCAAGATTATCCCTTTGGTTACATATTTTCAATGTACTAGTACAGTACATCTATATTGTGAATTGTGATGAATTCTGCTAATCATGATTTTACTCTAGGAGTGGATTGCTATATGAAACCAGTCTTAAACAGTCTTTATTCTATAGCCAACCTTATTACATAAGCCGTCATATTTTTTATATTTTATAATAGTTCGGGCATACAAAAAATGTCAAAACATTACATGAAGAAACATTGAGAAACAAAGGCGGAAAATAGAAAGAAAATACCAAATGCCATAGAGTAGCCAAGGAAAGACCAAATAACGCTTTCTAATAGTACAGAAAATCCAAATGGTTTTGGTAGTCACCCCTGTAAAAGTCTGTTGTTGTTGTTGTCTTTTTAACAAAGACTTGTGATAATATTAATTTTAAATATGTGACTTAATTTATAAATTTCAGAATGAAGAAGTATAGGAAGAACAGAAAATAATGAAAAAAACCACATTTGTATTAATATAGAAAAGTTATGATAATGAAATGCCCTAGCCTTCTAGCAGCCTTGAAATAGCCAGCTAACTGATTAGACTGGCATTGCAATGGTCATTTATAAAATTTAATTATCAATCAATTTATAACATAGCTGGTCTATAAAGTGTAATTTTATAGATCTGCGTCACAAAACTCATAAGTTTCAAGACCGTCCATCTTGGACCACATAGCAATCTATCCCAGTTCAGCTTCTACATCATCCTGCTACCTAGGTATTACAGTAATACTATTTTTGATGGTTCCTAACTTTGTGTCTGAATAATTTGGCCCCATGAAATTGTGTCAGACTGATGACCATCAGCACAGCCTGTGGCAGGCTTATTATAAACATGCAATAAATTAATCGCTTATAAACATAATTCACTGTGTTATTTGACAAAAAGATATTTAAATCTTTTTTTATTCTTAAATTCCTGATTTCTCAAATTAACACCAATGGCTGTGTGGTTTTATGCCCTTTGTAACCTTCGCATATCCTGTGACCTGCTAATTGTGAGCAGACCTGATGCTGATATGAAAATTGTCTGACCCTGTCTGACTAAACAGATACCCATGTCCTAGATATTTAGTGGTTTTTCTGAAGTACAGTTAAGTAGCCTACATCTGTCTTCAAGGTGTCTAGATCAAGTTGAGATGCCATACTGCATCATGGTCAATCATAGAACAGGATAGCTCAGAATTTTGAGCATTTTCAACAGGCATACTGTAGGATGAATTAATAAATTAACACGTTGACTGCCAGAACTTTTTTATTTAGGTTTTGTCCTGTATGCCAAAACAAGTAAACAAGTACAAACATACTTTCTTGAAATGTTATCTAATCACTTATCAAACTGGCATGTTTAATAAATTGTCAGGAAAATATTAGGGGAGTACTTTCTATTGCCTCTGCCAAGTACAAGTTTTCTCGTCCACTTTCTGCATGGGTTGATGATAAATATCAATCATATACAATATATGTATGTATATACTGTATAGCTCAATATATAATAATAATAATAATAATAATAATAATAATAATATGCAGAAATTTTATTAGAAATTGCAACACGCCAATTCAGAAAACATTATCAAAGGCACAGTGAACAATTAACGCAATTAAAGCGATTTTGTAAACAAAAAAGTTTTCAAATTAGTTTTAAATGAGTTTCAATTTAATAATATTAAAAATATTAATATCTTATTAATTATATTATAATATTAATAATATTATTATTATTTGATAACATTATATGCTTCCAATGCTATCCCTTTGCCACTATTGTATTATTTATATTGATACAGTGATACAAATTTCTTGCATAATTACAAAGATTTAAGAAGAAATTTTCATCCAATTTAAAAGGTCATATGCAAAGAATAGGAAAGGTATAATTTATGCATCTATTAATAATTGGTGAGGAAGGTTTTTTTTTAATTATAATATTCAGTTGAAAGCTAATAATTTTATTAATCTTTTAGTAATCAAATATTGTTAGTACAAGTTGTGTATGTCATGTTTAAATGTTCTACTGTACTTAATTATTGATTACTGGTTATGGTTTCTAGGAACAGTTCTTTCAAAGAACAATTTCCTGGCAATTGAAACAAGGCCCATAGATATCTGGTTTCTTTTATGGTGCAACGGAATCAACTTACCAAACAATGAATCCGTTTCTATTTCAAATTTATGTAGTTGAAACACACCCAAAAAAAATGTGTAAAAGATTTAATTTCTCTACTGTATTTCTTATGTTTCCTAATATCTTTCCTTAGAATCAGATGACAAAGCAGACCCAGAAAAATTTGTTTTCACCATAAAACAAACACCATCGCCTCCCAAAATTGTTACAACAGAGTATACCTCTGAAATGGAACAGTCCACTGGTCAGGCAGCTAGTACGAGCAAAGCAACAGTCCACTCTAAAATTGAGGATGTCACCGAATGTCTAAAGCAAATCAGCACACCTGAATATGATGAGGAGCTGACAACGCTTGTGAGAAGTAACATGAAGAATGATGTCATCTACAGAGATCAACACACAGACACAAAAGGTCAGTATTTGTTAATACAGTTATTCCCAATGTCAATATTTGTTAACACTTTCATTTTTTATAAGAAAACATATTGGTCATTGTTAATATTGAGTTCAGTGTCATCTTATGCCTTATAGAAAAAGCTTCCACCCCAAGGTGTCATCACCCTATTAAGCAAATGAAGTTCCAAATCACCTCTTATCCACCATGGTTTGAAAGCTAACACCCCTCATTTATTAGTCACCCAGCCTCCCCAACTTAACCTTCATGCCCCTCCCAAATCACCATGATCTATCCTATTTTGTTTGTTTTTTTTACTTTCTCCCACTAATTAAATTCACTTTCACCTTTTTGACAAATAAATTCTTTATAAAATGCAGAGTTACCAAAGAAACCAAAATCAAACCGTCCCAGCTTAAAGAAAATCCAAAAGAAGAAAATTCAAGAAATGTCACAAGGTCAGCAGCGGTCGCCATTAGCAACCCGAAATCATCACAGTGATTCTCCAGTAGTTAGCAGCAAGACCCGTACATACATCAGGCTTGATAGAAATACAAGTGATTTCCGTAAGCGACAGAATAGTTTGGGATCAACTGGAACTCGTCTCTCAGCCAAGTTCGAAATTTTTACAGAGAAAGAAAATGTATAGTTGTTTCGCATCCTCCATCTGTGTAGTCATCAAAGAAAGTGGAACTTTTCAAAATCACTTGTAATTAACTGTATATATAATATTTTCTACATGAGACAAAGTTAAAAATGTTTAACATGAATCTCCCTTGTTATTTCCCTGAAATCTTGGTATTATCGCTTTCAAGATATTCTGAAGTGATTCTGCAGCCTATCAAAATATGATGACTTCAGGATGTTTTCATTTTAACATAAATGCATGACTTATATGCTGCCAAACTGAAAGAAAAAGTGATATGTTAAATGATATGCAAACATTTTGCCGCAAAAGTACAGTATTTATGTATCATGTTTGATTTTAAAGTTTGAGTGAAATTATGTGATAAGTCAAATATAAATCAATTATAAAAATAAAATTTGAATTTCGAAAAGGTTTGAATTAAAATATAGTTTCCTCAAATACTTTCTTTAATAATCAAGGTCAATTAAGCTCATTACTGCATGTAACTTAATCATGTGATTCCATGTAGATTTTTATGGCAGGAAATTTCCTTCAGTTTGCCACTACATAGTGTTGGTTGTATTTGAAATTATCACCATTTATCCATAGGTATTTATTTTCCATAAATCTATAATTGTTACATTCAATACACACTATTCTGTCAACGATTATGTTCACAATAAAGAGAAGTGTGGTGAAAATCGAAGTACTGTGCATACATATAAACAAAATATTATTATTTACTAATAAAGCCAAGGAGATATACAACTACTGTATCACAATTCATGTTGTGTGGAAAAACCAATAAAACAAACAAAACAAACAAACAAATCCCTATACACATCCATCAAATTTAATGACAATGACTCATACTATTGTGCTATACCATGACATATAAAATGATCCATCGTCAGTCAAAACTCCAGAGGTGGGCAAAATTTTGTTAACATTAAAGCATTGAATAGGTGAAGTACAGTAATTGTCTGATTACATCCGCCTTCACTCCATAAATAAAGCTTCAACTTCCTTTGGTTTCAGATCCGTTGTGACGTACGATATCAGCTTAGATACAATTTAACCTTTAGATAATGTTTATAGGAATTGTATACTGTACTGTACTTTGCAAGTCTGTATCTTTTGGCATAATGAACTTTAAACTTTCGATGGTTCGAGATTCGATTGCCTCATCTGCACGTTGTGGTTGCACACGTACGTTAATTTTCTCGATCTGCAAATGACTATTATTATTCTTTATTGCCAGAAACAATACAAAAACAAACACATACAGTCAACTCATGAAGTAGGCAGGAACCAATAAGTGAACTAAATCACGGTAACAAAAGTTAAGATTCCTTACTCCCTAAGTAACAATACATAACAATAAATGTATAGATATTAATAAACTCTTATAGTCAAGATATCGAATAATAAAAACATAGGAAACAATAGAAAATTATTTTCCATTGAAAATACATATTAAAGATTTAGTATACCATATCAGTAAAAACAGGTTGCTAATGAATACAGAGATGCTACATTTTTGAATATAGTAATTAATGATCTATTTGAAAGTGCCTTCTACCATCTTCCTAATATTTAATTTAAATCAAGGCAATTCCATTCCCTGAAAGTCAGTTTCCGGCAGAAAAAGTACAACTGATTTTTCTAAGACAAAAAAAAAACATACTTGACGAAAAGCTAATGAGATACAAATTTTTATTTAAAAGCTGGATAAATATGGTGGTTAACCATTTCAAAGTTTTTTGTGTTTTAGAAAGTCAGTTGTGCAACATTATCAATTTTTTTGTCTGGTTCAATTACATCATCTCACATGATTGGTCCTTTCGAAAGCGAAGGTTTTGTTGCTTATATGCAGAAAGTATAAGTAGCTCCATGATCATATTCATGGTACTGTAATGTGTGAAATTGATTTATTGATTTCTGGAAATACCACACTCATCGTTACGCACCGTAACAAAACGAAGGTGCGATTATATCCTGTACGTGTACATACACTTCCAGATTGCTTTACCAAGAACAATTATTTGTTAGTCATTAGGTAATACCTGTAGAAACTGTGATGCTTAAAGTTGGGCCGATCGAGACAACACTAGGGGGTCCGGAAATTGTTGTGTTCTAGACGCCCGAAAATAACATTTGAGGCCTTCTGGGCTATCATTTTTTTTTCTTTTTCTTACTTTTTTTTTTTTTTTTTTTTGTGCTTTACAAAAATTTTTTTTTCATCTCTCAAAAAGTGGGGCGGGACCCTAAATCCGCCCCTGAAAGATGAGTATGATATGCGTTTATAAATAAATCGCATTAATATCTTGCGTTTTGAACTGTTTATTGTGTTACGTACTTCGGACGATTTAGTACGTAATCCTCCTGCCGATAATAAAGGAATAAATTAATCTACCTAATGAAGATATTCTGCTATCGAATGACGTCACAATCTATATAATGATGTAGAAGTAACATTTTGGAGATTAGGTGCAACCAAAGTGCAACTTAATAGATAATAGTCGCGCGCGTGTACGTGTGAAATATAGTATACACCCCAATGGTCTGGGTTCATTAGAGTTTAATCTGCAGTCCTAACACAAATTTCAAAACTGACTGATTTTTTAAAGGGAATAATCCATACATTGGTGCGTCGTCGTAGGCCTTCAGTTTTCCAGTAATGTTCAATTACAATATATTTTTGTAATCAAATTCTGTCATTGCGTTTTCAAACAATACCGAAACGGGATACACCTGTAATATGATGCAATGGGTCGATTGCCAACTTCTAACGCGTCATGGAATTCTTTCTCTCTGTGATCACGACGCAACAAGTGAAATGACGTTACAGGAGGACAATATGACTGTAGGCCTATATAAAGTATTTGATGTGGGTGGAATTCGATTTATCGACTAAACTCGTCTAGTCATCCAAATATTATTTATCTAATCCATTATTTATTTGGTCATGGTTGGTTTTATTAGGAATTCGCACCTTAATGAATCAATGCAGGCCTTTATGTTAACTCGGTTAGAGTTGAGGGTTTGATTTTTTATTTGTTTGCTATAATTTAAACATGAAGGACTTCCACGTAGAGCAGTTTACTCTTACAGGTATGCGTGACAAAACATGGAGTGAAGAAGTCGACCACTGACACTGCGTTGAATTTGAAATGGAAAAGATTAATTGGTACCAAAGTTTTAGCCAAAAAAGAAAAAAAAAAAAGAATTTACATTCTAAGCACATTTGAAACGGCGGCAAACACAAAAGTAGTGCGTTCAACTTGATTACTATATATATATA